CGCGTTTTTTTTGTGTGTGTTTTGTTTTTTTGAGGTGTGTGACTGGAATTCGCGGTCCCACTGGCCGAAGCGGGTGCGTGAGGGTCCTGCGGGGCTCCCCTGTTTCTCGACTGGCCGCTTGATGCTTCCAGCGACGTTGCAAGGGGGCCGCGGCAGCGGCGGATACTCCCCGCGGATCGTGCGGCCGTGGAGCGGCTGTTGCCCCGCCCGCGTGAGGGAAGTCCGCCCATTGCGGTGCTCACTTTTGTGCCTGGCGCCCAGGCCCCGAGGGGGCCACCTAGCATCTTCGCCGTTTAACGGCGGCGCGGGCGTGGAAAGAAATGGGCCTGTCTCCCCCTCACCCCCGGAGACAGCTGCGTGCGCTCACCCGCACGAGAAAACGTAATAATTGACGTTGCCGGCGCGGCGGCACGCAATGCGTGGCCCCGGTGCATTCGCGTGGCTCCCCCGCTTTGCTCTTCCGAATTCTTGCCCCCTCTCTTGCCCGCCGCAGAACGCAAAAGCGAAGGCGAAGAAAAAAGAGAAACATGGTGCGGCAGGTGGATGATTTGTTCCGCATGCGGATGCTGATGGCCGGCGTGTACGTTGGGCTCGGCATTTCTTCCACGTACGGCTTCAGCCTCTTCACAAATCATCTAAAGACTAAGTACGGGTATTCGCAAAGAGACATCACGACAATCAGCACGGTCGGCAACTTTGTTGGCTACTGCACTTTCCTTGCTGGAATGTTGTTTGATTACGCAGGTCCTACGGTTGTGCTTCCGATTGCTGGCATTCTTGGGTGTGTGGGATTCATGTTGTTTGGACTCACCTTCGATGGCCACATTGCGTCGAATCCAAGTGTGATTCACTTTTCAATCTTCAACGCCATTCTGTATCTTGGCTGCCCGTCGATGGACGTTGCCTCTGTAATGACGCTGATGCTGCAGTTTCCTTTGGACCGCGGCTACATCGTGCTGATCATGAAGGTGTTCAACGGGCTTGGCACCGCGGTGATCATGGCGTACTTCAACGGCTGGTTCAGGGCGGCTGACTCCGAAAACTCGGAGGACAACAACTACTCCGGCTACGCGTACTTTGTTGGGGGGCAGATCCTGTTGTGCGCTCTCGTTGGCGCGTACTTCACGCGGTTGCCGATGTACTTTCCGTGCGCGTGGAGGAAGAGCCGGCTGAGCAGCGAGGAGATCGCGGAGCGGGAGAAGACGCTTGACCTGTACATGGCCCAGCGTGCGCCCTCGCGGCGTCTGAAGATCGGGTTTGCGCTTGTCATCGTCATGATTATCTTTTCCACAGTCCAGTCGATTGCGACGGCGTACGTGAAGACGTCCCACGCGGGGTACTTGGCGATCTCGATCGTGGCGCTGCTGCTGATGGCGTCGTTCACCGCGATGGCGATGCCGTTCCAGTTTCTGGGCCGCTACACCCCCGTGCGTGCAACGCATATGGAGGGCATCGGAGAGGCGGCCACGGAGCCGCTGCCGCAGCGGTTAGGCGAAGACGCATCAGCGGGGCCTGAGGCGGAAGGCAATGGTCACCCACCAAAGCAACCGCCGATTCCGGCGCCGCAGTACCAGGGCTCCTTCTGGGCCCATCTGCTCTCCATTGACCTGTGGGCGTTGTGGTTCGCGTACTTTGGCATGGGGGGCACGCCACGGTGGTGCAGATGAACGCCGCCCAGATTTACCGCAGCAAGAACAACGGCGGGTTTGACACCCGAACTCTGACGCTGTACCTCGCCATCATCTCTGTGGGCAGCGCTGTTGGACGCATTTTCATAGGATGCCTCGATATGAAGCTGGCTGCGTGGAACCGTGCAGGCAAGTCACAAATGCTGACGACTATTGCGCTTCCCATTGGTCCCCTGCTGATGGTGTTGGCGTACCTCTTCTTTGCCGTCCTGCCGTCTGGCGCGCTAATACTGCCGTTTTTGCTTGGAGCTATCGGAAACGGCGTTGGCTGGGGTGTGGGCGTTATTGCGATGCGGATGCTGTACGCCGAGGACATTGGGAAGCACTACAATTTTTGTTTTTCTTCCGGGGCTGTTTCGTCAGTTGTGCTGAACCGCTTCATGTTCGGGGAGATGTACGATGCGGA